CGAGCCCCATGAGGGGCCCAGCGGTGGACCTGCAAGGCCGGCGGGAGTGCAAGGAAGCCCTGCGAAGGCCCTCCCTGGCCCCAGGCAGGCAGGGGTGGGGAGAGGCAGGGAGGAAGCAACTTACCCTCCCTCTTCTCCTGCCTCCTCCTGGCTGAATGAGGGCCGGAAGCAGGGCGGCCGGAAGCAGGGGGCGGGGCTTCGTCATGTGCCCCACCCCCCGTACCTCACCCGGGGGAACTGCGATCCCCCCCGAAATGACCTCTGCTTGTTCTAGACCCTTAGCCTAGGTTGGCAGTTCAGTCTATATTTGGAGGAAATATAGTCTGAAAGATGTGCTCATCCAGGAAGCAGAGCTGGACTCCCATGTAGCCCCTGCTCCATTGTTTGGCTCTCTGTGTTTCCTGAGGCCAAGTGGCTCCCCCCCTCCCGACTCTGTTGCTCTGTCTTTCCCCTGATTCCCTCCCCCTCCTGGTCATTTTTTGGCCCTTCCTGATGTTCCCTCTTTGCGCCACAAGTCACTTGTGAATGTGCAGCTTACAGACCAGGTCTTCTCCTTCTGGTGGTGGATGGCTTTTTGCCCAGCTGGTGCTGTGAATTCGGTCTCTGGATTCCTGACTTACTCCTGCTGAGGGACACTGCTGACTTTTTCTTGCTGAAGGCCACTGTAAAAGAAAATTGAAATTAAAATTAAGGGGATGGAATGTCCTCCCAATGAAGAAAGGTTAAAGAGGCCAGGGCTCTTTGGCTTGGAGAAATGACAACTGTCAGAGATTTACAAAATTATTCATGGGACAGAGAAGGCAGAGAAAGAAGCACTTTTCTCCCTTTCTCACAATACAAGAGCTCATGGGCACTCAATGAAATTAATGAGCAGTGGGCTTAGAACAGGTAAAAGAAAGTACTTCTTCACCCAAAGGGTCATTAACACCTGGAATTCACTGCCACAAGAAGTGGTGGCAGCTACAAGCATAGAGAACTTCAAGAGGGGATTGGATAAACGTATGGAGCAGAGGTCCATCAGTGGCTGTTAGCCACAAGGTATAGAATGGAATGCTATGTCTGGGGCAGTGATGCTCTGTACTTTTGGTGCTTGGGGGGCAACAGTGGGAAGGCTTCTGGAGTTCTGGCCCCTCTGGTGGAGCTTCTGGTAGCACCTGGATTTTGGCCACTGTGTGACACAGAGTGTTGGATTGGATGGGCCTTGTGCCTGATCCAAAATGGCTTCTCTTTTGTTCTTACACCTGCTGTTTGATAGCAGCTGGGAGGCCCAGAGCACCCAGTTGCACCCTGGGCGTGATGGAAGAATGCCTGGCTGCTGCTTCCTCTTCCTCTGGTCTCCATTGCAGCATTTGGTATCTGGGAAGTTTGGGGGATTCTTCCTCATTGGGGAGAACCGACAGCATCAGTTGCGACGAGCAACACAGTTTGGTTTTCTTTCCACTAGGCTCCGGAGAGACGTGCCCAACCGATGCAGCACGCATTTTGACGCCGTGGCTCAAATCAGAGGAGAGGCTTTCTTTTTCAAAGGTGAGCGTGGGCCTCTTTCTTTCTTTGTCCCCGTTTAGCATCTTTCAGTGCCGCTGAGAGGGGAGGGACCGTGGCTTCGTGGCCCAGCACCTGCATTGCGTGCAGAAGGTCCCAGGTTCAGTCCCCGGCATCTCCCGTTAAATAACCTGGCAGCAGGTGATGTGAAAGGCCCTGAGACCCTGGGGAGCCGCTGCCAGTCTGAGTAGACCATACTGACCTGGACGGACGAAGAGAGTCTGATTCAGTCTAAGGCAGCTTCGTGAGTGTTCATGTGAGAAGGTGAAGAAAAGGGCTACCCAAATCACCAGGGGGCTGGAGCACCTTCCCCACCAGAACCTAGGGAGGGGGGCAAGATAGAGGTTTATAAAATTAGGCATGGTCTCGAGGAAGGGGGTAGAACTCTCTCTCCCCCTCCCATAATACTAGCCCAGAAAAGCTGATGGGCAGTAGATTCTGAGGGTAACCCTCGATAGTCTATTGTAGCCAGAAGAAGAAGAAGAAGTCCAGTTGCACCTTTAGAGACTAACAACTATTTCAGTCTGAGCTTTCATGAGATCTTCCCGTTTAGCAGGATTCCCAGTCTGATCTCCAGGTATCTGAAGAAGCAATCTGTGGCTCATGAAAGCTCATATCGAGAACCGTGTTGTTAGTCTTGAAGGTGCCACTGGATGTTTGTTTTATTTAGCAATAGATTTAGGACAGAGAAAAGGGAATACTTCACCCAAAGCATCATTACCTTGTGGAATTCACCATGCGGTGATACCTTAGGTTACTTCAGAAGGGAAATTAACACGGTCCTGGAGGACAGATCCATCGATGGCCAGTAGCCACAAGGACCCTCTGCCTGCCATTTGCTGCAGAGCAACGACAGGGAGATACTTTATTCTCTGTCCCCTGCCTGTAGGACTTCTGGGGGCATCTAGGTGTCCTTAAGCAACCTGATTAGCCCAGTTTGACCCAAGCTCATCAGGACTTGGGAGCTAAGCAGGGTCAGTCATGGTTAGTCCTTGGATGGGAGACCACCATGGAAGACTGGGGTTGCTATTTGGAGGAAGGCAATGGCAGACCACCCCTGCTCCTCTCTTCCTGGAACGCCCTGTGGAAGGGGTCACCTTTAGTTAGGTGCGACATCAATGGCACCTTCTTCTGGTTGATCATTGTGAGGAATCGGATGCTGCACTGGAGGGACCATTTGTCTGACCTAGCACAAGCTGCTCTTAGATTATGAACGGGTGACACGGGGATGCTGCTGAGAATGGCATTCCCCATGACCCATCTTTCATAATATGAAACAACATTCCATGTTGTGATAGCACCGCATTATGCCTAGGGTTGCCAAGTGGAAAAATGTACTTACCGGAGACTCCCGGTCCGCGGCTGAAGCGCGCGCCGCACGCACATCACCAGGAAGTGACGTTATGATGCCGGGCACGCTGGGGGTGGGGCCATGACCATCCGAGGGAAAACCATAGAGTTTTCCCTCAGATGACCGTGGCCCCGCCCCCAGCGTGCCCGGCATAACGTCACTTCCCGGTGATGCGCACGCCGGGGTGGGGTTCCCCCCAGGGCCCGATCTGCCGGCGGCGGGGAACAGGCCTCTGGGGCGGGGTTCCCCCCCCGGGGGGACTTGGGAAGCCTAATTATGCCTCCTCCCAACATGTGCAGGGAGGGCCATGTCATGACATGACAACACCAAGTATGTGAAGCTACACAAGAATTTTGGAACCGAGCGTCAAACAAGCAAAAGTAAAGGGGAAAAAAGGCTGTGTGTGTGATACATTTGAACAACACATTTACAAGTCCCTTTATCCTAAACAGTTACAGAATAACCAACCTCATATTTTCTTCTTAGTTCAATAAATCATCTTTTGTTTAAGTTATCCCAGAATTGAATTCAATCCTTCCTCAGGACCACATAGATCCCTGAAAAGCCTAGACCCTGGGTTACTTTACCAGAAAGAAGAACAGAGAGAAGGTTTGGAAATCCTTAAATTCCAAAGAAGCAAAACTGCCCTGCCTTCCTTTGTTCCAGTGAATGCAAAGGCACTGAGATCGCTGGCAAGCTCTTCACCATTTGGGACTTTTAAAATATCAAAATGTGGCCACCTGTAGTTAGACCTACAGTTTAATGCATCCATTTAGGAGTTGATTTTTTTGGGTGGCCCTGTATTGACCCCCACAATGGTCCTTTAAGTCCCTTGATTGCACAGTTTCTGGCTGACAACCTGCTCCTTTTTGAAAACGCTGGTGTTTTTTTTCCCAAGGTGACAATCTGTGCCTGTCCTCTCATTCTAAATGTCGCAAGCGTGCACCTTAATTCTATGGCCCATCTGTCTTCACACTTCCCGAACATCTGCTGGCGGTACTTCTCCAGGAGCAAAAGTACTGCTGTGAAGAACCCTTTAGCTACCTCAAGATGGGCAGCCATGTTTGTCTGTAGCAGTAGAAAAGAGCAGGAGTCCAGTAGCACCTTAAAGACTAACAGAATTTGTGGCAGGGGAGGAGCTTTCGTGAGTCACCGCTCACTTCTTCAGGTACGGCTGTATCTGAAGAAGTGAGCAGTGACTCATGAAAGCTCATCTCCTGCCACAAATTTTGTTAGTTTCTAAGCTTTCTTGTCCTGTAGAAGGGAACTCAGAAGGCATTTAAATGCGCAATTAAGTGCCCTCCGAGCTGTCTTTTCCGGGGTCTCGTGATGCCTCCCCCCCCCCAAATTCCACAGTGGGAGGGAGAGGGAAGCCCGAGGGCAAGCCGCTGCTCTCTCACCCTGGCTGCTGCCAGCAGCAGGGGGTCTCTCCTCGAGAATACGTTTTCCAGCATGGCTGTTTGTGGGGCGGGGCCCCGAAATGCCCCACTGTGGCTCCGGGCCTGCAATGAAGGTCAGTTCTGTCCACTCTGACTGGCAGCGGCTCCCCAGGGTCTCAGGCAGAGGTCTTCCATATCACCTGCCGCCTGGTCCTTTTAACTGGAGGTGCCAGGGATTGAACCCGGGAGCCTTCTGTGCGCCGAGCCGATGCTCTGCCACTGAGCCACGGCCCCACCCAGCCCTGAGCGAGAAGCAAAACGGTGCCGCCTCCCACATTAGACACATGAAGCTGCCTTAGACTGAATCAGACCCCCAGTCTGTCAAAGTGTTAAATACTGGGTTCCGTGGAGGAGCAGACCCCAAGCCTAGTGATCAGCTCGGCTTTATTTACAGGGCAAGAGCCCTGTTTGAATAGCGTGCAAACACCACACCCAACAATAGGCTGTTGTCAGCCAGGGCTCTTTTTGAAGAAAAAGCCCAGCAGGAACTCATTAGCATAAAAGGCCACACCCAACAGCAGGAACTCGTTAGCATAATAGATCACACACCCCAACAGCACAGTTCATTAGCATATTAGGCCACACCCCCATGTCTTCCCTTGACTTGCCCAGTTGCCCCACGGCTGCGGGATGCCTGGCAAGCTGGCCCTTAAATGTCTCCCCGATCCTTCCAGGGCCCCCCCCTGGCCTGCCTGCGTCTGAGTCGTGGGGGGGGGGGTG